TTAACACCAGAATCCCTGACCCTGAGGCCATAAAATTCACAATTTTAGAGGAGACACCCTTCCTCACCATAACTATGTACCGGTATGAAGTAAGTTTATTAATACCCCGGCATGAGCAAAGAAAAGGATTTTCAAAGAATTTATTCATTTCAACTATATAATTAATAGAGCCCTGCCCAAACACCAGAACCCCTCGCCCTAGGGCCATGAAATTCAAAATTTTGTAAGAGGCACCCTTCCTCACCATAACTATGTACGTGTTTAGTTTGTTTAAAACCCAGGAGCAGAGAAGATGTTAAATGAATTAATGAATTAATGCACATTCCTCACCATAACCTAACATTTAATTTACTTTGTTAATTAACGAGGCCGAGTCTAATTCGAGTGCGCATGACTTTGCGCAGCTTTTTAATTTCATGCAGTCATTTGTGCGAAAGTACACCAAATATCTTGATTATAATTCAAAATTAACATTATCTGTAACCCCTACTGGTCTGAAAATGTGATTTTACTACTACAACTAGGAAAAACGCTGAAATGACTCTAATGACGTCACCATTTTCGGATTTTATAAGCAATGCATGACGCTGAAGAATGACGCATGACTCGCTTTGTTCAAGACGTCCATGGATATTATACTAAAAACTTATGACAGAACATCCAAAGAAACATACTAGCAATCTAAACACTGCTATTTTTACCGAAAAAATCATATGCACCGATAATTAATCTGCACTGGTATTTATTTATACCGTAATATGGAAATTTTAGAGGTAATTGGGCTTTGAAAAAATAACTAGACCAACCTGGATGGTGAACTTCTTAGAAATTTAACAATTTGGTGACTTTTTACAATAACATTCATCTACTTGAATTAAAAAGAAATCTCTAGGGCAGAAATGCAAAAAATATGGGGGAAATGTGATAATTTTAGGCGCGTCCTAGCACTAAAACCCCTGACCCTGGGGCCATGAATTTCACACTTTAAGTAGAGGACTCAATGCTTATCACATTCATGCCAACAGTTAGACTGCTTGATTCCCAGGAGAAAAAAAGAGATTTTTAAAATATTGCATAAATTTTAATGGTTTTTGTCTCACCCCTCAGGCCCCAAGGGGTGGGGGACAGAGGCCATGAAATCCCCGATTTTGGTTCCCCTTCATCCATAGAGGCTTTATGCCAAATTTGGTTGAAATTGGTCGAGCGATTGCAGAGAAGAAGCTGAAAATGTTCAAATGTTAACACACGACGCATGCACATCGCACGATGCACGAAGATTGACGAAAACAGACAGCAATAGGTTACCTGAGTTTACTCAGATGACCTAAAACTAATATGGTCTGTATTCGATTTCTACTCTTCAAAGTTATCGTTTTAAATTATTCAATCTACTAATTAAACTAGCACAAAGGTAGAGAAAAAAGATAAGAACAAAACTTCAGTTATTTTAAATACAGCAAAATAAAAAGGAAAATAAAAAGCAAATGAACACGAACAGACAAATAATTCTTTATTTACCCAAAATCATATCACTGGTACAAAAGGTACATATATATACCTGTACATACAGAAATAACAGTCAAAGGTCAAGGAATATATATTTTTTAATAGATGTAATAATGATTTTTTTTTAAAAAGAATACAATAATCCTAATCGTGGCTTTGCTGTCCTTCAGCAGTACCCGCCCCTCCCCCACAAGTACTCCTTTATAAAACTCTGAACGCTCATTGTGGCCACCCTACCATACCTATATGTAGATATCAAAGTATCTACACTTACAAAGGAAGCTTAGAACTTTCATAATATGACTAATAATAGCCTCTCTGTTCTTGAGCAGTTTTTTTCTCTCAAGATTATACATATATACTAACCCTAGTATCCTGATTAAAACTTTCACCCTTCATTGTGTCCACCAACTCTTGGGGGTCTTAATTTTAACAAACTTGATTCTACACAATACCTAAGGTTGCTTCTGTATTTTTATAAATGACTGTTTAAGGAGAGGAATTTTAAATATATTTTCGGTGTAACGTGTATGATTGTTTAAGACAGCAGTGCCCGATGGTAATTCACACTGTCTAAACTTTTCTCTTGTAAATCTGGAGACGCAGACAGGGTAAGGTACATGTACTACTTGCATCGTGTGTCTGCCCTAGGTTCCTACTGATAGATAAGAACCGGATGTCTCAATCTTCTTCAGATATAATACTACACCCAGAACTTAACATCAGTTCCCTAGTATACTTGCTTTTACTTTTATTTTGACCTTACCTTTCTTTATTGCTGATTCTGCAGCCAACTTTCTCTTCTTACATGTAGCTTTTAAATGCCTCACCTTTCGGAAGCTTAGCGTTATATACCTTGGCTGGTCCATTCAAAGGGTTGACAGGTCATTCCACTATTTGAAGTCTTCAATTTATGCGTTTTTATGCAAATGTGTACTTTGTCCCCCTGTTTGGCCCTGTCTAACCCCTTAGGTCACGATTCGAACAAACCTGAATCTATACTATCGAGGATACTTCTATATTAATTAATATGACAAATGACTGTGTTCCTGAAAAGATTGATTGATTACTGTTTAACGCAGAGTCAGCAATATTTCAGACATCTATTACAGCAGTTCTTAAGAAGATTTGAAAAGACATATTCAAAGTATGGTTGAAATTGACCATGGTTTTTGAGAAGTTATTTACAGATGAACGAAAGACAGACGACAAATAACAGACGGACGCCGAACAGTCGATCAAGCTTTCGGTTCAAAATTCGAGCTAAAAATTGTAAGAACCGGAAGTTTCTCAAAATACCAGATTTCCACTCCAAACTTTTCATGCACGCAGATTGTACTTTTTCTGAGGATTAGATGCCACGGACATGTAAATACTAGTGCTATTTTCCAACCGTCTGGCTTAAAATGGCCCGACTCAACACTTTTTTAAAAAGTCACCGAGAATGGTATTTGTTCACTCTGGAATTTTCTCATTCCATCAACCAGTACTTAAAAATACAGGCAGGTAGCAACCAGGGGGAGGGGGGATACTTTTTCCAAAAAATAACTTTTTACTTTTAAAACGTCCATTGAAAGGCCGGTTGCCCCCTCCACTTTTTGTTGTGTGTGTGTGTGTGTGTGTGTTTGACTTGTCAATTTTTTTTTCGGAGGGAAACCCCCTCCCCTTTGCGTTCTACGGACCTGTGTTTTATATTTGTACTTGTCGACACAGTATACAGTAAAAATAAGTGTTAACATAGGAAGAATTTTTCTCTCCAGAAATGTTCAACATCATTGCTAAATTCAAATATGTTAAAATCTAAGGTATCTAATCCTTTTTTAACTAAGGTAGATTTTCCTTTAGAGGCTACCCTACTTTTTATTGCCACAAGTTTGAGAATTAATTGCATATTCTGAAAAATCACTCCCTCCCCCCTCACAGGTTTTTATGAAGTTATCCGGCCTTTTTTTTTTTTTTTTTTTTTTTGGAAACCACTGTTACATTATCCTATGGGACGTGTTATGGGGAATATTTAATCGCAATGAGAGGTTAATGATAGAAATCTCTTTATATTTGTCTCCTGACATCTCAATATTAATGCGTTAGAAAGGACAAGAAATAAAAATTAAGAGAAACAATACCAAAAAAAAAACCTCCACAGAGTTGTTTTTTTATCGATATACGCTTTAATCCGAATGGGGTTATGTTCTCCGATTCAAATTAAAGAGATGGATCTTAATTAACTACCAACATTTAATTTGTAGAGAAGAACCTATACATGTAGCTCGAAAACCGCTGAAAATGTCTACTGGAATTCCATGGTTTATGAGAGAGCATTTATTGCTATTTGTTTAGAAGAGAAAACCACAGTGTGTCCAGTTACATATAAAAAGTGAACACTTGATGCATGAGTTGCAGGTTTCTCAAATCAGTGTAGAGAAACCGAAATCCGACAGGAAGCCGCCATAAATCACCTCCTGAATATGCGGTATCTAGGTGGGACGTCCTTTATTATGTATAAAGTTTGACAGAATAAATCCTAGAGAAACATTATATTGCCTACCAAGACGAAATGCAGTCAAAAACTTCATAAAATGCATCAAGTGCGAGTCAAGATTCGCGCTCAGCAGTGGGGGTTCGGGATTCAGTTGCAATTTACGAATAAAAGCAGATGTATGGAAACATTATATACCAAACGATATATCATTATCATAAGATAACGTTAGCCGACCAGCTGTAAACCGCATTCAATTCCGCACTCATTTTCACATTCAGATATATTTTTTATTGCAGATCTATGTTTCTCATTAAATTAATGACTTCTTTTAAGTATGTCAGGTGCGAGAAATCTATCCAACACTTGAAGTCTTAACTCCCAGAATTATGGGCCCCATTCTTCGAATACCGCCATTAAAGTATCAAAATAAAGATTTCATGGGAAAAACTTGCCACCTTTCTGTCAAGCAATGGAACAGTTAAAAAATCAAGAAAAAATTAGGACCGATCAAACGTGGAGGCAGTGACAAATCAGAACTTCAGGAGATGAAAAAATCAACACGATCTGGGGGGTTCTTCCACATCATGTGTTAGCCAAAAGTTAAGAGCAACGATATTGTACACAAAACGATAAACTAATTGCTTTCCTTTTGGTTTCCATCACTGATGGGCCGCTTTCACAAAAACCAAAATATAAACATTCCATGGCAATAAATGACATGAGAAAAACAAAAACAGCAAATTCATTACCGGTATCTGAATTCGTATTCTTGTAAGCCTACAGCATCCACTATTACCCCCCAGTTATATATACCAACTTTTATCAATGTACACCGAGGATACTAGACAGAAATTAGTAAGTCAATTAAAAGGAAAGTGACGATTTTCATGTCTTTTTTTATTTCAAAGAATTTCAAACACATGTACATCCCTAGACAAGAGAATTACCGGTACCATTTAAGTTTTCTTTTCAGTGTTAATGAGCACTTGAGGCATTGGAAAGAATAAGATACAACTAACTGTACCATAACAATTTATTAAATCCTTAAATAATATAATTCATACATATAATAATTATTACTGTAAATTATTTCTTAAAATTATCACAGGCCACTATCAGTCTTTTAATTTACATGTTTAATGTGAAAACAACACAAGCAGACTGTGTTAGAAATTCAAAGGACTGTTTTCTGGACGGACAATATAATAAATGGTGCTTTTTATCACATAAACACTGGATAGAAAGTCCCAATGATTTAGAAGAACTCTGATAATCTCTCGTCATTTCTTAGCTTCTGTTCCAGCTGCATGTATTTGTGGGGGGCTTGCTCCTTGTGCCTGAAGGGTAAAAATGGAATACATTACTATAATGTTTTTTAAATGTTTTATAATAATGTGCAATGTTGAGATGTTTTAGATTATTTAACAACAGGAGTTCGTTATAACAGTTAAATGTACTATAATGTTAATTATACGAGTGCTTACATGTCACAGGAGTACCCAGATCAGCATATCCATACATTTAATTTATTCAAAGCCAGCAGAGAGGAAATGATACGTACAAGTACTAAATTATCAAGTACAAAACAATACATTTTGTCTTTTGAATATGTTTCCCATTAAAAAAGAATAGTTTTCATAACATGTACAATTATGTTTCACATTCGTTTGTAGAATATCCCAACCCTGTGAGTTCATCAGAACAGCCAAAAAAAAAATTCAAGCATTCAACATTCTGACTGACAAAACAAATCCCCCTTCCTGATTATCCACACCAACAAAGCAGTGTAAAGGTGACTAACCGTGTGAGTCGTAGGTCGAGGATGTGGATCCTGAAGATGGCTTCCTTACAATAGGTCAGGTACTCCTCCTCATCCTCCTTACCCATGGATACCTGGTTCTGCTGGTACCATGCCTGCTTCTTCTCCAACTCCTGGCTCTCCTGTACAACAACAACAAACTCAGTGAAAAGGGGTTATTGGTAAAAGATGAATGTTTTCCCTAATGTGGAAATAAATACCAGCTCAATTTCAATTTTCATTCATTCACTTTGCTTTAATATGTTTCATTATATACAGAACAACCACCTTTTTGCATGACAATGAACAGAGAAATCATTGCTATAATTCTCTCTGAGCTCAAGCAATGTTTGCAGACCTTTCATCAGCAAAAATTACAAGTACGGTGTGATTATTCAGAATTGAATTCATGACACTTTTTTAACGAAACTATCATTTCAACATAAATTCCTGTTACATAAATCACCATATGGATGGTACAATACCTTTTCAAACCTGGCCTGGATGAGGTTGGCTTTGTCTATGAGCCTCTGTTTGAGATCGGCGAGACACTCCTCCTTGAGACTGAATGCCTGTTGTTTGGTCAGTTTCTCGGGGTTACCAATCTTAGCCAGGAATGGAGCCAGGTAATCAATGTCCATCTCCTGCTTCCTCATCTTCTCCTCAAGCTGCTGTCTCTCCTGGAAATCAGTTAATGTTATAAAATAAGGAAAGTACCAATATACACAAAATAAGAGGGCTTTTATATTCAGCAGGTCTATAAATTGTCCCAGATTTTCTACATTGCAAAAGAAATGCTTTTTTTAAAGAAAGTTTTGCTTTACAATGCATTATTTGTCTCCCTTAGGATGGAGACTGATTTAAGCACAGTGTTTTTTTCCTCATTGCTTTACTATTTCTCATTTGTCTCCCATATGAGGGAGACGAAGTTAAGCACTGTTTTACCTCTCATTGCTTTACTATGTATTATTTGTCTCCCTTTGGTGGGAGGTTGATTTAACCACTCACCAGTTCCCGTCGGTGTTTCTTGGCCTTCTCATTCCTCTCCGTGTCGTACACAGATATATCAAGCTCTGAGGCAGCTTCCTCCTTTGTTCTGTCATCCAAAATGCTCCTAACCTACAAAGTATGATTTCAAAAGGGAATTAAAAGGTGTATGTATTTATATGTATACCTGTATATACAACTATTTTACCATGGTATTTTTTTTTTGCTAATATTGTTCATATTAATTACAATTAAACAGATTAAACATATACAGGACATCCTAAAGAGGTTTTTTTCTCCCATAAAATGACAAAGAACAAAAATAATTGAAAACTTAAGATTTCTTTGTCTGAGAAAAGAAATATATTACACACTAGAGATTCCTTAACAAGTATTGATATCACTTAATCTGAAAAACAAGAGCATACATGCTAAGATTGTACCCAGTAGCTCGTAATTGAGTTTCACAGAATGTCAAAATTTACTTAATGTGAAAAACAAATTTTATATGGATAATAAGGCTGAAAATGATTTACAGGGGCCAATTCATGTCAACCATAAAGAAACGTTTCTACTGACACCAATTAGAAGACGGGTTCCGGTCTCTCCTCTCTACATCATTGTACAGAATGAAATAAGTATATCTATAAACCCCCAAACCTCAGAACAAATAAAAACAAGACAGAGTATCCTTACCTCATTCTGGGAATCTCTGACTTCATTTCGACATTTCTCCTCGGCTTTTAACAACTCCATTAACATCTCATACAGCTCCACTTGTTTGTTAGCAGGCTGGGTGGGATCAACCTATAATCATAAGAAATAAACTGCATCGACCATCCATTCATTTTATCATTATCTCAATTTTCTGTGTTAAATAAAGGCAAAAAAGTGGTATTAACATTGGAAATTTTTATTTCAATACACCATCTAATTTTAACTGCATCAAGAAATGGATCAAATAAACTTTTGCAAATATTTTTTTCATTACATGAGCAAGTAATTAAAAATAAACAGTTTAAATTTCATATTGCCAATTCATACATATTGTAAAAAAAATTCCAGAAACCAAGAAATCAGCACTATGTGATATGATATATGCATTGTCTCAAATTTCAAAAACTGCAGAAAATGTGAGGGTTCATGCTAAATACATCTTTCAAATTGACATGCAATCAGTATTTTAAGATCTTAATATGTATGTACATTACAGAAAATCTGTTTTTAAAACCTCTTTTTTTTGGTCTTCAATAACTGAATGTAATCTAATAAAGTCCCTTTAAAAATTAAAGTGTATTGGGCCACTTTTTTTGTTACTTTAATTAGTTCAAGAAATTACACAGCAGAAAGTGATAATTTTTATCAGCTTCAGATGTGTGCGGTTTTCTGAACAGCTGTAATAATATGAGTCTGAAGTACCTTTATTTTAAAAAGTAAAACTATATTTATGTTGGGTAACATTTACACCCCCCCCCTTACCTGGAAGGTTTGGTGCATTTCTGGGGAGAAGGTTAAAACGGCCCCTTTCTCGTCCCAGTTTGGAGGTTTGAGGAATTCTCTACTTGAGGCAGCTATCCTCACATCCTCGGTGTGGTACGTTATCTGGATCTTATCTTCAGCTACGTGGAATATTAACTCAGCTATATCTTCATTAGCAGGCTTATTTCTATTTCGGTGGAATTTCTGTATCATTTTCTTTAAAAAAAAAAGATAACAGTAATATATGCTACTGAATCTGTTCAAAGAAAGATAACTTTGAAAATAAGCAATAGCCAGTGTGATGAGGGTAACTCTACAGATTGCCTTTATTATCAAGAGACTTCAAGAATGCAGTAAAATTACATTGATTGGTCTTCCTTTATTGGCAGTTGAGGTTTCCTGTGGACCAAATTTCTTGGCCCGTTTTCCAAACTCGACATATTTATAGTACAGGAAGTCATCCCTATTGATATACTCCTCTGTCATCTCACTCTGAGTTTCCTCCCTTTTTACAAGTCCATCCACCCTGGCCTCGTGGTAAAATAACATTATTCTCTCATTCTCTGGTCCTGGTGCACTAGACTTAAATTGATGTTCTGAGAAAAAAAAAACGGACCAGCATGTGGTTGCAAGACTATTCCATTGAGAAAAAGCATAATTTTTTTTTTTAAATTATCTGTGATACACTCAACAATGGACTAATAAAAGTCACATGCAGTAATACACCATTACATGTACATGGAAGATTACATACATTTAACTTAATACTAATATGTTGATTTTGAATAGTCTTGATATATCCACTGTTACACCTCAGTATAAAATTTTTGTGTATGCATGTGGATTACCTTTTAGACATCTTGGTCTCCCAGGGTCAAAGTTTTCACATACTTGACCTGTTCTATGATTGGTCAACCTCTGGGTCAACTTGTCTGATCTGTGGGCATAATACTCGTGAACTTTAATTAACTCTGTCACTGAAAAAAAAAGATACACATACAGATGTTATTAATGAAATCTGAAGATTAACCAACAGTTATCATTCTTGAAAATTCCATAAAAAAATATGGACTTTTTATTTAGTGTTTTTTTTTTCAAATCAAGAATCATTTTTCTCATTCCTCAAATCCTAAGAGAGGGCTGTGATACTTACACTCTCTGTCCTCATACACACTGAGTCTGGAAATGAGTCCATCCTTCATCAGGTAGTGAGCAAACTTCTCCAGCTTGGCTCGCTTGTACACCTTAGTCTTCTTACCATGTGGACATCGCATCTGAAAATCTATAAGGAGGAATCCGTCACATTATGTGTACATGCATGGAAGCAAATCAATATTTAAGTTGTTAACATAGTAATTATAAAGATTCAAACTACAGATTTCCTTGTACATAAGATGACAAGCAACCATAGAGTGTTTTAATGAACAAATCAAGCAGTTCAAATAACTGTTCTCATCAATTGCAATGCATATTTTTATGAACAGCGTCATGACAAAACTAAATGTACTGTTCATGAGCAAACTCACAAAATACTTAATGCATCCAATACACTCATATCATAAAGTAATAGCTTTGTACACTTTCAGTATTTTTCATCAGAAATCAAGTCATTTTTTTTTCTGTCAATAGCCTTGAAGTTGCCCAATGGACTATATGGTTTGAGGTCAAAAAATGTCCTCAGGTCATATTACCTACAGATGAAGAAATGATGAAGAAATGATCCAGACTTGGTTGCAATGACAAGGCAGATGCATGTAGTGCTTTGCGTTTAAATGCTCTCTCTTTCTATTTTCAGATGTATTCTACATCTGATTATGATGATATATACCAGTATATTATAGCAGAATATAATGATAAGACAAATACTAGTATAACAAACCTCTATGTGAGAGTTTAAGGGCATCAACCCAAGATGGTGGCATGTCCAAATATTTCTCAACTTCATGTTCCTCATCATCCTAAAAAAAAGATAAGAAAGTTAAACAAGAGGCCCATGGGCCTTATAGGTCACCTGAGCATTATGCAACAACTTTCCAGCGATTTAATTCGATTAATGTTTTAAGCAAGATGCTATGGCATTTACAATTTTGAAAGAGGCACCATTTGATCATCATAACAATACACTTAGCAGTTGCTTAGTTTGTTTACTTAATACCCATAGGCAGGGTGGGGGAACAAAAAATGCATTTCAAGTAATCAGTAATATTCAGCAATAATCAGTAATGCCCCTATCACACATGAACCCCTGACCCTTAGGCCTAGATCCACACATTGCACAATTTTTTGAAAAGGCACCCTTGCTTTTCAAAAATATTTGATTAATACCAAGGAGCAGATCTCAAACAATTCATCCAGTTTCAGTATTTAAGTACACCCCCTCCTATGGTACCCCTGACCCTGGGGCCTTGAAATTCACAATTCTGGAAGATTAGGGTCCTTGCTCATCATAACTACATAGGTAGTTCATCTGCTTAATACCCAAGAGCAGAGAAGAAAATTTTCAAAGATTTAAAGTATTTTCACTATATAATCAATAGAGCCCCACCCTATAACTAGAACCCCTGACCCTAGGGCCATAAAATCAAAATTTTGGAAGAGTTATTCTTGCTCATCATAACTATGTACTTAGTTTATTTAATTCCTAGGAGCAGAAAAGAATTTTTTTCAAAGAATTCATGTATTTCCATTATATAATCAATAGAGCCCCACCCTAACACTAGAACCCCTGACCCTGGGGCCATAAATTTCACATTTTTGGTAGAGGCACTCTTGCACATCATAACTATGCACTTAGTTAGTTTATTTAACACTCAGGAGCAGAGAAGAAGATTTTCAAAGAATTCATGAATTTTCACTATATAATCTATAGAGCCCCGCCCTAACACTAGAACCCTGACCCTGGGGCCATAAAATTCACAATTTTGGTAGAGGCACTCTTGCTCATCATAACTATGCACTTAGTTAGTTTATTTAATACCCAGGAGCAGAGAAGAAGATTTTCAAAGAAATAATGCATTTTCACTATATATTAATTTAGCCCCACCCTAGCATATTAAAAAATGTCCTAGAACCCCAGACCCTGGAGTCATAAATTTCACAATTTTGGTAGAGGCACTCTTGCTCATCATAACTATGCACTTAGTTAGTTTATTTAATACTCAGGAGCAGAGAAGAAGATTTTCAGAGAAATAATGCATTTTCACTATATACTAATTTAGCCCCACCCTAGCACTAGAACCCCTGACCCCGGGGTCATAAATTTCACAATTTTGGTAGAGGCACTCTTGCTCATCATAACTATGCACTTAGTTAGTTTATTTAATACCCAGGAGCAGAGAAGAAGATTTTCAAAGAATTCATGAATTTTCACTATATAATCTATAGAGCCCCGCCCTAACACTAGAACCCCTGACCCTGGGGCCATAAAATTCACAATTTTGGTAGAGGCACTCTTGCTCATCATAACTATGCACTTAGTTAGTTTATTTAATACCTAGGAGCAGAGAAGAAGATTTTCAAAGAAATAATGCATTTTCACTATATACTTATTTAGCCCCACCCTAGCACTAGAACCCCTGACCCCGGGGTCATAAATTTCACAATTTTGGTAGAGGCACTCTTGCTCATCATAACTATGCACTTAGTTAGTTTATTTAATACCCAGGAGCAGAGAAGAAGATTTTCAAAGAATTCATGAATTTTCACTATATAATCTATAGATATATGACCCTGGGGCCATAAAATTCACAATTTTGGTAGAGGCACTCTTGCTCATCATAACTATGCACTTAGTTAGTTTATTTAATACCTAGGAGCAGAGAAGAAGATTTTCAAAGAAATAATGCATTTTCACTATATACTTATTTAGCCCCACCCTAGCACTAGAACCCCTGACCCCGGGGTCATAAATTTCACAATTTTGGTAGAGGCACTCTTGCTCATCATAACTATGCACTTAGTTAGTTTATTTAATACCCAGGAGCAGAGAAGAAGATTTTCAAAGAATTCATGAATTTTCACTATATAATCTATAGAGCCCTGCCCTAACACTAGAACCCCTGACCCTGGGGCCATAAAATTCACAATTTTGGTAGAGGCACTCTTGCTCATCATAACTATGCACTTAGTTGGTTTATTTAATACTCAGGAGCAGAGAAGAAGATTTTCAAAGAAATAATGCATTTTCACTATATACTTATTTAGCCCCACCCTAGCACTAGAACCCCTGACCCAGGGGCCATAAATTTCACAATTTTGGTAGAGGACTCAATGCTGGTTACAATCATGCAAACAGTTTAACTGCTTGATGTCCAGGAGTAAAGAAGAAGATTTTTAAAGATTGCATTAATTTTAGTGGTTTTTGGCAGCAGGGATCATGAATTTCACAATTTTTGTTCCCCTTCACCCATAAATGCTTTGTGCCAAATTTGGTTGAAATTGGTTCAGTGGTTGCAGAGAAGAAGCTGAAAATGTTCAAATGTTAACGCACGACGCACAACGCACAACGCACGACGCACGACGCACGACGACGGACGAAAACAGATAGCAATAGGTCACCTGAGTTTACTCAGGTGACCTAAAAAGTTAACATTTATACAAACATACACCCTAATTATACGAAAAAGCATTTAGAATTTCTTTTTCTATTATACTTGGTATTTTGTGTGCGTACAAGTTTATACATAATGATCAATTTTAAAAGATGTAAAACTTTAAAAACTGATGAAGTTTGGGTAAAACATCATTCAGATTCTTTACAAAGAGATATTCATATCACGTACAAAATACTGTACAACATGTATCACTTCAAACAATTCCTGCCCCTGTATTCAAATGTCAAATCTAGTTAGGAAGCAAACTCACTTATTAACTAAATACATGTATTAATTAATATATTAAACATTTTAAAGTCTGAAGAACTAAGCAATTCTACAGCTGATTCAATCGACAGCTTGACTTACTAAAGACTTCTTTCTCTATATAAACAGTAAGAATATAAGTTTATAAAATGGAACAAAATTTTATTTTCTATATAATATTTATCAAAAGAATGTTTGTTGTATTAGTTCCTGGCTGTAAACACACTTTTCCGTTTCATATAATGATAACATGATTTTGATATATCATATATGTACATGTTCATTAATGTATAGATATATGTGCTCTGGTTTTTAATAAATCAATTAAATATGGATGTTTTATACATGCTTTTTTTGAGAAGAGAAAAGGATTTATGATGATGATCTTAAAGACACTTTTTAAAATTAATATGTTTACTTCACAGGTAAGCATATGCACTAGTTAGTATTCTTTTATATAAAATAATATTACATTATCAGAGTTTTAACAGCTGGAGTGTAAAATTTAGCAAACTCTTTCCCTAGAAAATGGAAATCTGTCTTCAAACCTGTATATATAATTAGTTTACACAAGTATATATATAATATTATGAGAGATAGAGTATATCGTAATCTTATAAATTCATGCATGCATATTAATGAAACCTGGCGCATATACCCTGGCATAATGACGAATGTTTTAAAGTATACTTATTTCAATCAGAACTGCAAATCAGTGTTTCTGACAAGAAACAATTCATTTTGAGATATACTGAGTGAATTGCATCTGCACTTCATCTAAAGAGATGGGAATGTTTAGTGAAATTAATTACTATGAATAAGTACATACGTCGTACAGAATTCTTTTTGTATAAGCATTATGCCAAAGTGTTTTCCTGATTGCATTTAAATTCTGATTACAAAGTTAGCATGAAGCGCATGCAGGTTTATATGCGTAAAGGATGACCATAGACATGCGTGTATTTTCCCGTGTTCTTCCGCTGGTGGCTGTTTTCTGTAAAGTCAAACTGCAGAGTTAGCCGTGACTCAGAGGCCATAATCATCTCTTTGTAACCTGATTTATTCCACTTTTTATTTCAACTGTTTGGGTATTTTTAAACCCCCCACCCAACCCCCATCCCCTCCTTCACCCTACAATTATATAGAACATCCAAATCAATTTAAAATGTAACAATTCTAATCATAAGTTTTGAAAGGATGGATGCCCTAAAAAAAATAAACAAACAAACAAAAATCTGTTTCCAATTCAAGAGCAAGTCTCCAAAATTTATTGATTTATGAAAATGTTTAACCTTCAAATGAAAAGAAAAAAGACTCAAAAAGAAGAAAAAAGAGGGCAAATGAAGATTGAAAGCAAAGATAGGCATAAAGCTTAATTACAAATGTGATTTGGCTATCATACACATGGATTTTAATTGTCCAATGGCTTTGGTATGCAGGAATTAAGAGTCTGATTACTATGCAAAACATAGTACGACAATAATACAAGAGAACTCACTTTTCCATGCTCTATATGCTACATAAATTAATATTAGATAAATAAAAAAAATGCATTATTAAAACAGTATCTATTTTACTTAGAATTTCCAGAAACTTAAGTATGGTATTTTATTTTCACATGCAGTGAACTCCTTTTTAGCAGCTAGTATTTGTGTTTCATGCAAGTTTAATATTACATGTTTTGCATAAAAGTAATAATTATTAATAATCTCAAGAAATATACCAGTACCTAATATTTTGAGCATGCATTTATTGCATCATTTTTTTTAATCAAATTGTAGACCTTGGTTTGTTTATTTGACCCTATACTCACAGTACATATGGATGAAGATGTATATTTTCTCTGATGCATAGAATCATTTGTGTAATTTAACCAAATTAAAGTACAAATAAAAGAAAGTTTCTGACAACAACAAACATGCAAACTTATAATTAGTATAAAGGTTTTTTTTCTATCAAGATCATAATGGACTGAGGAAAAAAATCTACTCTTTTAAGGGACTCTGACCCTCAGCCAGGGAGGGCAACTCTTTAATTTATAATTTAATTCAAAAAGTCTTTAAATGAAGCTTGAAAATTAAATATTTTTATGAAACAATTTTCATTATATGCCTCTCAATGTGCTTCAAGGTTCTTTGCAAAGCTCCGTAAATCACTTTTAATTTCATATCATGTTAATAAACATTGGTATCTAAAAATGCTTTTACGGGATAAAAATTTCTACTTTTAATTAGACCTTTCTGAGAAGTTCAAAGAACCTTGAAGCACATTGAGAGGCATGTAATGAAAATTGTTGCATGAAAAGATTTAATTTTCAAGCTTCATTTAAAGACTTTTTGAATTAAATTATAAATTAAAGAGTTGTCCTTCCTGGCTGAGGGTCGGAGTCCCTTAAGATAAATGATGACAATAGAGATAGCTAAAATCTTTATAACTACAAAAAAAGAACTAAACTTTTCTACTTTTGCCTAAAGCATCTAAAGCCTATTTAAAATCTACCTTTAGGAAAATTATATATGAAATATTTTATTACCCACAATTCAGTGGGGTGACCTACCTCCTCATCGTCCATGTCATTAAGATCATCCTCAGCATCTGGGACTTTTAGGAGGGGCTTGTCATTGTTAGGGAACATGTACTCCCAAACAGTGGGGTCACCAAGGTCAAAACTTAATCCCTGTAAAGAATTCACAAATGAGATTTATCTTTTGCTTACTCCTTTTGTTCTTAAACTGGAAGAAATTGAATTTGTATTAATTATGCACAAAAAGTACATGACCTTCATTTAAGCTCAAGTTTTAATGACCTGAAATGTATTCTTTAAAAATACTGGTAATAACAATAAAATCTTCATATATTAAAATAAAAATAGGTCACTGTACAAATGCATTACTAATTTACTAAAAAGCAAACTACAAATGTATAAACAAATAAGAAAATATTTAAAGTCTTCGAAAAATATTTAAAAGTGTTATAGATATTCTGGTAAGAAGGAGAAATCAACAACAAATTGATTACTACCTGCAATATACAATTTTTTAAGGGTATGAACAAGTTTTGATACACCTAACTGAATTGTAGTAGTCTGTGCTGAACTGACCTTGACCCCCTCAGAACAGTCCTGCATGTTGACCCAGTAATTGACGTTGTTCCAGACAGATTCAATACCCAGGTAGTTAGAGCTGTCCATCGGATGGGACAGGCCAGTGAAGGGCTCAATGAAAAAGTTTTCTGGTACCTCCCTTTTACCAGACAGAACCAACACCCAAGCATGGACACGGAGGCCGAAATAAGGGTCTGGTGGGGGCTTTTCCATCTCCTGTTGAATCAAAATACAAAAATTAACATGACCTAGTCTTTTCTATTCAGAATAACATATCTCTACCTCAAAGGTTGTCCTGCAACATGTTTATGAAAATGCTATTGTATTTCTGAATTATGTTTTTACTTCTTCAAATGATTAGTTTTCAGCACTGTTTATTAACAACTTTGCTTACTTAAAATATGCAATATCAATGTTGTTATATCACATGATGCATTTCTTCATGAGAAATCAGCATTCGATAGAGTGCAAGGATTTTGAACACAAGATAAACATGATTTAACAAAAGTCTCTAAAGGAGCTAAATTCTCAGTTATATCCTTATAATAGTTACTGAGTATAACTTACGGCTATTCGTTCCTCCTCTTCTTTTCGAAGCTTTTCCTTTTCCGCCTGTTTCTCGGCTTCTCTCTTTGCCTCTTGTTTCAGTTCAAACTTACTACGGAGGTCACGAGGAGGCTTCACGTTATATTTCTTCATTTCCTTCTTTTTGGCTTCCTCTTTTACCTACAAAAACAACAGAAATCGTTATATTGCAACTCACAATGGAACAATGCCTGCAGCATTGACTCGATATAAAAAAATATCTTCTATGTTTGTCTTACTCAAACTTCATACCGAAATAAAAAAAGGAGTTGGGTTTAGATATGGTTTTTATCTTAACTAAAATTGACTCAGTGCATCATGATACATTTATTGACCTACTGATTACATCAGAAAAAGCTAATTTACTCTTCTGTCACATCACCAATAAACAAATTCATCTAGACCACTCAGTAACTCTGGTACATGTATCATAGATATAATCAGATGAAATAAAATCATTTAAAAATTGAATTGATATGCTTTTTCTTGTTTTCCATTACACATAACATTTACCTCCTCTTTCTTTTTCAGGAGAGGACATATATCTCTGGACTCATCAGCTAGACACGTCTCCTTAGTGGCGTATCCACTAATGACGTAGGCATCATAACCAGCTCCGATCAGAAGAGAACACAGCAGGGTGCTGTACTCAAAGCAGTTACCCTTCTGTCGTTTTAACACCGTAGCTGGAGAAATTAACCTTTTTGGCTAAAAATATCATAAAACATTTACTGCCACATAAAATATCTCAAACACAATACTGAGTAAACCTCTGAAATATATGCTGCTACATGTACACATGCAGTCACTCCAGATGCTTTGGTATATAATCATTGATTAAAAACAAAAATTAAAAATGTTTTGGACTTATCAAAAAAAGTACAAAGCAAATATGACTTTAAAATTAACTAATTCATTTTTAATATAGAGATCATGTCTTTTTAATCCTTATTAAGTAATAATACAAAATTTTTTTTGGCTTACTCAAATGGAGAAAATACATGCAAATGATGTTTTCAACTACTCAATCTTGACAAATAATATCAGTTTAGAATACTTGAATCTATTTCAAATATTGAAAAACATAGAAGATTTATTTTATTTTATTCCAAATACTGGGTCAGTCTAACTAAGTAAAAGGGTGCAGTATAGAGAGGGTCTTTAAATGACGAAAGAAGGGAAATTTTTACCCATATACATGTGTATTCATTTTTGCCTTCTTTGTCTTTGACATCAATTCAAATGCAACAGAGATGGAGGTATCTCTCTTAGAATACAACAGTGTAAGGGTGGAGGGTAAAAATAACCCTTTACCCAGTACTCACCAGTTCATACTCAGGTTTCAGGGGCTCAATATTCAAATAATCTGCTACAAACTCAGCAGCTCCATCCCAGTTATACAATTCTTTGAATTCTAGTTGTGTTGGTCGAATCGTTGTACAAACAAATTTCTGTTAAAAAAATAAATATTTCATGTTTATGCCAAAATAAAAAAATTCCTAGATTCTCATCTGAATTTTTTGAAAAATCGAGGTGGGCGGGCGGCTTTTATCTTATATTTTTTTCCATTTTGCAGAATTTTTATTCACCTGTTCATTCGGTGCAGATTTATCTATAATACCCGAATAAAAGTCATGGTAGAGGTCTGTTTCTCTCTTAATACACATCATGACCAATCTTTCAGAACCAATTACCCTAGTTTAACATACAATTATAGCAATTACCATCTTTTCAGCTGTCAAAATCATGCCGACATTCATGAGATATAAACAAAAGTTGAATGGTGGTTCAGAATTCCGATCCCGATCAGAATTAAGACGAAGAAAAACAGAAATTAAATAAAACAAGGCGGGAGTAAAAAATCAGGGCAGGCGGGGATGAGAATCTAGGAATATATTTATTATGACCTTATTGATAAAAATAAATTTCAAAAAATCCCCTTACAATAGAAACTGACAACAATTGATGATCAAATAATTCACTTCTAGTAAGAAAGATATTGCTGTATATCTTTCTCTTAAAAAGAAGATGTTACCTATTTAATATTGTATACACGTAGCTTTCTAAGCTTATCAGCTCAAACTGCCTTACCTCGACTCCACATTCATTTACAGGGTTCAGGAATAGTGGCTTTCTGTCTCTGTACAGCTGGACCATTTGTCTTCTGAAGTTTTCAGCATACTGAAGCACTAGATTTTCCTTTGGTAAATTGTCCTTATATGAAGGTGAAAACTCGGCCTGGTCAAATTCTTCCATTGGTGATCTTTAAAAAATATAAAAATATTTCAAAAATATGGTAATATAATGTGTAATCAAGCAATAGATTAGAATTTATTTCTTATAGAAATGGGAACAGCTCATTGTGTTCTATTATCAACAGCCAAAAACTGACGGCAATAGAATGTAATGAGCTGACCCATGAAATTCATGAACATTGGTCCCTGATGAACATTGCTGATTCTACAGTAAGGTTATGAACAAGTTTTGGGGAGAAAGATAATGCTGCAAAAATATTAAGCTAAAATCTTGATATTATGCAGTGTTACTGAAATTTGAAGGAATCTTAATTATATAGTTCAGTGTATAAATTGATCTTGTGACAGGTAATGGATTGCAAATAGAATGATAAAAATGTCCCACAAAAGAATGAAAAAGGCTCTTTAGTCAAAACTATAGATGTGTTATAAAACAAGTAAAACTGTAGTAAGAAGTTATGTTAATTAGTATTAATTAGAAGATTTGATCTACATGCACAGAACTCTAGCTATTTCTTATTAAGGTTGTACAACAGTATTCTTGAAAGATGAAATTTCGATGTAGTTTCAAGAGGTGCCTTGTTCAAAACTTAAATAGTTAATACACATGTGTGGTTTTTTATGACTTTAAAACAGAATACATTATTCAATTATCTATAACTTACGGTTCATAAGAGGGTGGATGCACTATTATCTTTGCTAACTCAGCTTTAAGCGCCTCTGCATCCTCGGTGAGATCTTCTCCCTCTTCTTTTTCGGTTTCATCTTCCTCTTTAATGACATCTTCGCTGTCATTTTGGACAACATCACCCTCATTCAGGTCTGTGGATTCCATGTTTTCGTTCTTGTCCTAGCACGACTGTTTCAAATAGCTGCGCCGACTTAGCAACGAAATAAACCATATTTTTAAAGGTATTGTTTTGATATAGAATTACTTAAATTTTGCTTTAATGGACATAGTTTATATTTCATTTTATAACTGGATGTAATATTTGATAATATATCTTTAATGTAATATATATTTCATTTATGTATTCATCCGCATAAAATAGACAACTCGAACATGATTTTTCGAAAATAACTCGTTCATAGAAAATTCTTTTTTTTTTTTAATCTTCTAGACATTTAGATATATCAAGACGACGACGTATAACTATTGTCTGTTAACATAGTTATTTCCATTCTTATGTCGATAAGATATATCCCAGTGATTTTTAGAAGAAAATAATACCACAGAGTCTGACACATCTATTGGCCTACTTGTTATAAATTATTTTGCAAATAAACTCCGAAACGATTGCACAAGAGTTCTTACTTAAGCCTGTAGGAATACACTAGGTATAAGCTGATGCCCGTAAACTATATTCAGATTTCACTCGCTTAGTAACTATCGTGATTTTAATTAGAAGTATACTTTCATTTTCGTTAACCAGCTTCGAAATAGCATACAAGAGAAGTAAAGTGGTGGTTCCGGTTTGCGGATCTAAGTTACTGGCATTTGAAAATAGAAATGACAACAAGCAAGCACTTATTTATTTCATAACACGTCATTTATTAACTATTCAATTCAAACTTAATTTAAGTGATATAGAAGAAATTAGCTCTGGTTATTGATTAAAAAACAAAATGTGCAAATCCTTTCCGTTTATGTTCAATCTCACTCTTTGCTGACAATCGGCAATTCTCGGCTGACTCCGATTCGCTCCATTTGTTATGTGCGAGGTCCGAGCCCAGGCGCGGATCCAGAAATTTTTTCCAGGGGGGGGAGGTCCACCCCAGTCAAAAAAAAATCCAATCCCAGAAATTTCTTGACAAGCAAAAAAAAAAAAAAAAAACCTGAACTCGCCCAAATGTCAAAAACCTATTTCATGTGGGGGGGGTGTTAGTCTATGACTTCTATTGCCTCAAATCTTTCAGTTTTCATATCCATTTCACACATTACCCCCCCCCGACCCCCCCTCTAGATCCGAGTGTGATATATATTTGGAGATAACGAACAGTATTCGAGCTCAAAAGTCCACCAGATGATTAAGCAATACAAAACTGGAGCAAAGCAAATACGGACCTCGATAACATCAGAGGTAGGATCAGGTGCTATGGAGAAGTGAACATCCCCGTCGGGAAATAGCTCTTCAGAGCTTATGTTTTTGTTGATGTACAAGACTTTAAATAAATATTATCTTTTCTTATCCCCTGCTGACTGATCACACCCGCGGCGCCGTGTGCTCCTTGTCATGATCGGGGGGAAACCCGGAAAAATCCGTGGACAACTCAGTGTATAGATAATGGTCTCACAATTAGCATTAAAAAAGGCAGTCAGCGTTTGACCTAATGATAAATTTTATTTGCTGACAAAGTCATTGTATATCGACCATAGAACTTACGAAATAATGACTTGTTTTTTCAACTTGTTTGTCAATAATATACCTCGTTTTCGAAATTGTACATACGGAGAGAATAAATCTATTCGCCATTTGATAGGTGTACGCTTATTAATTAGCGCCAAGAATGCCACGCCTTACTGAGAGCCCAAGGTTAACCGAGAACTGTACTAAGTTCGATGGTCGATGCAATGACTTTTATCAGCAAATACAATTTATCATTAAGTCAAATGCTGACTGACGTTTTTCATTATTATTATCAATTGTGAGGCCATTATTTACACACTGAATAAAATTATTGTCGAGGGATTTTCCCGTTATTTTACCGATGATGACAAATTAAGGAACACACGCAGCGGATGTGACCGATCGGCAGGGGATGCTCATTCCTCCATGGCACCTGATACCACCCCGGTCTGTGTTTGGACTGTTTGCTTTGCTCCAGTTTTGTAGTATTTAATAATGGACTTTTGAGCTTGAATGTTGATCGTTATATCCATATTGTATCATGGTTGCGGTGTTTTCCTTTGAAGTTCACTGTGCCTGTTGAGGAGGCGGAGCCATGGGCATGCGGTATCATGTATATTTCGGAAGTTATTGCATGTACCGCGCATAGCATGAACGCCATAGTAAAAAAAATGTTTCAAATATTGTTTTATTCATTTTTCATGCAAACTGACTCTAAAATTCAATCTGCTTATTTGTACAGTTCATTGATCGTGATCAGACAGAAAAAAAAATACATAACAGCATTTACACTAGATTGCAGCAAATCAAAAATTAAATCCAACAGCTACAGCATATTACTTTGAATTGAATGAACTCTGCAGTTCTTTAGCCATAAATTGATTTTATATATATTTATAAAAAAAAATTAAATTGAAAATTAAATTGTATTAAATTTATATATTGGTATTTGATCCACGGACCAAAAAAACCGATTTAAATTTGAAAAAGTAATCTTCAATTTCATTTCTCTTGAATATTAAAGGTATCATTTTAATATTAAAGTGCATTATCCTCCAGTGCAGTACTTTGTTAAAAGGAAGCCCATCATAAGCTGTAGAAATGTAGCGTTTCGGTTTTATATATTAGTCTTTGACCATAACGCTACAGATCCAATAGTGCAAAAAATGTGCATTTACGGCGCAAGATTTTTTGCGAACTGTTTGGGAGAATTTCTCCACTTTCCAACTTTGATAAATCATTTACCTTTCACCCCCTAATTCCAGACACATTCTTAAACCAATTTGTATATTTTATCCTTCTCTCAACCCTTTATAGACGCATCTACAGGCGATAAACTGGCTTGATTTGAATTGTCTAAGGGATTGCAGAAAATTCAAGTGAGTTAATCCCCTGTAGAGACGACTATAAAGGGTTGGGAGGTTTATAAATTATGCAGATTTATATTTAAAATGTGTTTAGAATTATGGAGGGAAATGTAGATCATTTACCAATGTTGGAAAGTGGAGAAATTCTCCGAAACATTGCGCAAAAAAGCTTGCGCCGTAAATTGCACATTTTTTTTTTTGCACTATGGGATTTGTAGCGTTATGGTCAAGTTACGCTTAAAAGTTATATAAAACGCGAAGCAGTTTATATTGGTTTAAATGAGCTCCATTCCTTTTAATCTAATTTCAATTTAAACATTTTTAAAAATTTCCCTTCAAAAATGGCTTCAAATTGAGACAACTTATGTTATTTTAAAAGAATATTTTATCCAATCAAATGACGTGTTATAACTAAAAATAATTTAAGACGTTTTTGACAAAAAGGAACGCAAAACTCATTGTGATCATATCCATGTAACAACTTATGAAAATTCCAAATTTAATATGACCATAGTAAACAAAAATGATCCTTGTATTATTTTTATCTTCAAAATCAAATGACGTGTTATAAAAAGCAACACAACTTTATCAAAATAATTAAATTTGGTTGTAACGCTTCATTTGATGGAAAATCCGCTTCGCGGATTATAATCTAAATTGTAAATAACCTTCATTTGGAAAAAAGTTGCCTACGTCACAATTATATAACGTCAAAACACATCAATCCACTTGACGCTGAGTTACACAGTAACCTGGGCGGGAGCAGTTCACGCTTTGTAAACTGTCCGATTCATGTTATACAGTATAATACTTTGCTAAATTCAATTCATTCCAAAATTAAACTACATGTATTTAAAGAATGTTTTTGATTTTAGCCAACAATATACGGTATATGGTTTGAGGAAATGCACGCTATATAATCCTTTTTGATGCAGTGGTTCTTGATATTTTTGCTTTATCATTTCAATAATAATTTGATTCTATCCCTTTTGCGCCCCCTATAACTATTCCGGGTAGCATGATTTGAACAATCTTCAATCGGGAAGCTTGAAATCACGTACATTAGGCCTAATGATTTTGATTTAAAAAAAAAAAATCTTTTCTTGTTCATGCAGTGGTTCTTGTTAATGAGACGAAGATTTCTAATAGATTTTTCGTAAATCATTTTAATGTAATAGGCCTATTTACCCCTTTTCCGTCCTCAAAATTCAGGGTTCCACAAAACCCTGACATGGTATTGGGATTTTTTGGGAGAGACGGCCTATATACTTGTCAGTATCAGACAATTATTCGGTTCATTTTTAAGAAATCTGCAAGGGTATAGGGCTATTGTTACATGCATATTGCAGATAAACTAAATTAAGTAATGCTATATTGATGTTATAAAAATGTAAACTTGTAATTATGTTCGTAGTTGGATTCAGAAGAATTTTGTGCAATATGTTTCATTAACGTTACCACCCCCCCCCCCCCCCTTTACCAAACGCGCATACTATCGGGTTTTTTTTTTTTTTAAATATGTATTTTACAACACAAAAACTTGTTGCTTGCAACGGGAATCCTGGAATATAATTTCTTAATACAAGATTGATATGAAACTTCTAAACAGTTATAATGATTTTACAATATTTATAGAAGTCCTATTGGCCTGAAATAATATGTATAAGAGACATGTAATAATGTGTGCGGTGACTGTATGTGTTATTTCACACATATCAAATATACTAAGTTAATTGATTTCATCAAATTCATGACGTTTTTACTCCTGCGACATACGTACAGTATGGATTGTGTTTACATCTGCCGCAGTGCGCGTTGTCGCATTGCAGGTGAGAGTTGGCCAATGAAAACGTGCGTTACACAGAAATCGAAGATACCGGTTAATTTCCTTCCCGCGACTTTGATGTTAGTAAGTGAAAATAGTTCCTCGAATTCCCCACGAATCTCGAGCCTAATTCGGAGGAAAGATAAGGAGACATTTATATTTTGTTTCTTTATTTCTTAAATTTTTATTTTTGGAAAATTATTCTTGATATTTTCCTCGCAACGGCAAGAAATTCATTTGTGTGTAGGAATACACTATCAACTTAGATCATCATCTGCACGACGATTGTCCGGTTGCCGCTTAAATTTCATTTCTATCCACAATGGTAAGTAGTTACTTTTAACCATCGAACCACTTGATAGTGAAAGAAATGACCAAAGCGATCTTAATTTTGAAGAATGTTGATTATTTTTGGATTAATCCGACCCTACAAGTCTTAACCGGCAAAATGTTTACAAGATGACAAATATTGACAAATGTTGTAAGTTGAGACACTGTTTCATGAAAATAAATAATAAATAATAATGAAGTAGAGAGAAGATATAGTGAACATTAAAGGGAAAGACGTTGTACATTGCAGTGCACTGATTTTTTAATGTTGATTGTGTACACATTGAGATTGTCGCGCACTAGAGATATCGGTAGATCTTTAGAAATAAATTGACAGTAGGAAGTGCTTGCAAATTCTGAAGCTCAGCTTGCAAAGAAATTCATTGAATTTTAAACTCACTAGATAAGTATAGCTGTAGTATGTAGCCAGGTAACTTCCTGGTTCACTGGAGCTATGAATATTATACAGAATATATGGTTTCTATCTGAAAATGTAAGCTACATGGGCAAGGGTTAGAAAACGTGATAGAGGGTGAGTTTGCCGAGCCCTACATCACGTTTTCAACCCAAACCAAATATTTCAAGGCAGTTACCATGTAATTTGTTTATCCTGAAACATTTTAACATCTGACCTCCAAAACTAACCTGATTTAGGCACATCTCTGCATTTAAAACTAAAACATTTGGCTCTTTACCACTTAGTTCTGATCCTTAGCTCCTAGAAAATGGAATTGAGTACAGTTTGAGAGGTTTAATGGCAAGATGCTTTTGACTTTGTGTAGTGTAACCTCAATCATTTATTGTAACGAAACCCAAATAAAAAATTCACACATGATTTAAAAAAAATATTTTTAATGTTTGAATGATCAGTATAAAATGCTTAAAATATTCATTAGATTTTCTAGAGTACAGCAGATGCAAATTCTACCAATCTGATCAAATATTTACTGGTGTGAAGGCATTGGGCTAGTACCTTGGTGCACACTGCTTGTTTACTACATCAGGTTGAATTTTTGGAATAAACACTTTATATTTCATTCTTACATCTTGTATGTGAGGATGAATTAAGTGTTAGGTGTAAGAAAGCATAAACACAAAAACACTCTTAAAATAAAGTGCCAGGGGCAGACAATTTGGCTTCATTGTAAATGTAATTTGTTATATTTGTAAGTTTTTCAGTGTACTTTAAAGTCACTGTGACACAGTAAATGAAAATGAGTTCGCTGTAAGGGTCAATTCATTCTAAGCATGTTCCATTTAAGTGTGTTTTACAGTATAGCCATGTATTATTACAAAAAATACCGGTCTTGAATCTATCTTGCATATTAATGTATTACCAGAAAGAATATTATTACAAATTAAAGGTAATTTCCTTAAGATATTTATTATCTTATTTGACTCTTCATTATTATATTTTCCAGGCAGATCAGCTAACAGAAGAACAAATTGCAGGTATAAATGGGTGGAATGATACCGTAAACTGTTTAATTCGCCAATTGAAAAAACATATGCTAGGATCAATGAAAGAAATTCATTGTTTAAAATCGTTTATTCATTTAATTTCTTCATTTTTACAGAATTCAAAGAGGCTTTCAGTCTTTTTGATAAAGATGGTGATGGAACCATTACAACGAAAGAACTGGGCACAGTGATGAGGTCACTGGGTCAGAATCCCACAGAGGCAGAACTTCAGGACATGATCAATGAAGTAGATGCTGATGGTAATTTCCCACACTCCAAAGATTCATTGTGAAAAATAGTTATCAATGATCAAAGGGACAATGAGTCCCATGCTAAAATCTGTGACAGGATATAATACATAGATTAAAATAGTACAATCAGTGTGAATAACTAGTTATAAAGTGATGACTAATGAACAAATGGCTTTATGGGATTATAAAGCAATTTTCTCATTTGTAGTTTTATCTTGGACAGAGACATTTGAAAATTAAAAGTTCAAATTACAGACAAAACTTTTAGGCAGTAGTGTGTAAGAGCCAACTTCTGTATTTTAGCAACTATTAAAAAAAAGTTGGGAAGTGCAGCCATATTAAGATTTTATGTAATTATCTGTCAGATGCATGTTACTGTGTAAGTTTTTTTTCTCTCCTTTAAATTTGATGGTTATACAGATCTTGCCCTTTATTAAATAGGAAATGGAACAATAGACTTCCCAGAGTTTTTGACAATGATGGCAAGAAAGATGAAAGATACTGACAGTGAGGAAGAAATTCGAGAAGCATTCCGAGTATTTGACAAAGATGGCAATGGGTTTATTAGTGCAGCTGAATTAAGGCATGTGATGACAAACTTGGGAGAGAAGCTCACAGATGAGGAGGTGGACGAAATGATCCGAGAAGCAGACATAGATGGTGATGGTCAAGTTAATTATGAAGGTAAGTGGTTAAAAATAACAGGATTAGAACTTACTGTTGTTCTGAACCATACAGACCATTTCAGCTAATTAAAAAAAAATGAATTCATTTTCTTGATAAGGTACAAATGCAGTAAGAAGTTTTACCTTGCAAGTATCACTAGAATAAGCTGTTTATTAGTGATAAAAATTACCATCACATGCCAATTTACTTTTCATGGAGTAAATGTTGTTCTTGTATTCCTGGGGGGAACAAGTCATTATGGTTCAGATATTATGTATTGTGCATATATTAGAAAATATAATGATAGACTGATGTATCTATTGGCATGTTGCTTACTTGCATGATACCTTGTAAATGATATTCTGGAGTGATTATGAAGTTCCTTCAAAGAGAACAGAATGGATGCTTTCTATTGGGGTTGGGTGCTCACAGTGCTGTGTATATACTTCTTGTTTTGCTTTGGGGCATAACTTAAAAATTAAAAGGTCATCTTTTAATTAATCTTGGAAAAATCAGACTTCCCACTCAAATATCTAGTTCCAATTTGCAAGTTTCAAGATTATCTCCCTTGGTCCAGGTCTGCTCTTTCATCACATAGGGGGACAAATAGATTTTAAAGGCATTTGTCCAAGGGCAAGCAGGGATTTATCAGCCTGTTTTTGGAACACCATTTTTTATGGAATTCAATTGGGAAAAAATTATCTGCTTTTTGATGAAATTGGGAAAAATTAAAAATGTTGCCTAAATCGTGAATTCAGGAGTAATTCATTTTTAACACCATCACACACTAAGTACACATTTTCTCAAAGTCCTCTTTTGATATGTATTGATTAATATAATGCATTGAAAATATATTTTTCTATTTAAAATAATGCATACAGCAGACTTGTCGAAATCCATCAGTCCTGTTGGCAAGGCCGGTAAAAATTTGGACGGACTGATAACTTTTAAGAAAACGGCGATCCAGATGACCGTCTGAAAAAAATGAAGCGTGATGCAAATTGAATAAAGGTTGGGATCGGAATGCACAGCTGAAGGTCACACATACTCGGAAAAAAAATATGTGCAATAGCCAATTATATTTGTTAAAACAAAGTCAAAAAACATGTCATTTATGTCTTTTATTAAAGACTTTCTATCCCAGGGAAGGAAACTTGTAAGATTGAAGGCTGTTGAAAATAATCCAGGGCATTTTGTACATTTTTGGTGCTGTTATTCATAAGACTATCACAGCGTCAAAATTAGATGCATATATCTGGTCTGACAAAACAATGACTGGTCCGACAGAACCTTTGAAATTGGCACACCAAATGTCTGACAGTGATTTAAAAATTTCGACAAGTCTGATACAGTCCTAATCACAAACTCGTAGATCTATTGAGTTGTATATTTGAATTGGTGGAAATAACTTAATAAGTCTTAAATAATTACAAAATATTGCCATTTAAAGAAAAAGTGAGGAAATTTGGAATAATATGAAAGCATTGCTCACCAATTCAATGGGAAGAAATACTGCCAAATTGGGGAAAACAGCTCATTTTCAATTGGGAATGGGGCCAAATTTCGGCCCCTGAAAAGGCACTGATAAATCCCTGGAGTACATGGTCAAAATTCAATTGCCCTTCCTGAACTTTTGCTAGCTGCAGATCTGTTATTGTTTTATATTTGTCTTTGACCATAACTCTACACATCCCGTAATGCAAAAAAAATTTACGGTGCAATATTAGTTATCCAGGTTCAATCAAGGGAGTACGGGGATTTACCCCGAGTTGTATTCCATACACCTTGAGGCCGAAGGGTGTATGGAATACAACCCGGGGAAAATCCCCATACACCCTTGATTGGACCTGGATAACAAATTTATTTCTTACATACTCATAAAAATGCTTTGTAAACATCAAAGTCTAATCAACTGTGTCTCAATCTATCGATAACTATGTACAACAATGCATCGTGACGTCATGTTATTTGGTTTTTTATCATAGAGAAAGTATGCATTGACGTCACGTTTTATTTACACCCAGCTCAAGTCGGATGCACGGAGATTTACACCCAACTTTGTAACCATTCAAAGCTCATGTTACAAGCTACATAGGAAATAATATTTTTTTCACACTTTTGGGGAGAATTTCTCCACTTTCCAGCATCGGTCAATGAATTACCTTTCACTCCCTATTTCTAGGCACATTATTTAACTAATCTGTATATTTTATCCCATCTCCCAACCCTTTATAGTCTCTACAAGTGATAAACTCGCTTGATTAAAATTATTTGTTAGATTTCTAGTGCTGAAAATTCACTTCAAGCAAGTTTACTGCCTATAGAGACAACTATAAATGGTTCAGAGGTGGATAAAATATACATATTGGCAAGAGAATGTGTCTAGAATTAGGGAGTGAAAGGTAGTTGATTGACTAATGCTAGAAAAAGGAGAAATTCTCCCCAAAAGTGCACAAAAAATATTGGGCCGTAAATTGCACCTTTTTTTGCAGTATGGGATCTGTAGTGTTATGGTCGGGCGTAACAAAAAATTATGTTTGTTTACGGTTACCCGACCGACCGTAATTTTCATCGCCGACCCAAACTTTTTTTTCGGACGTCATAAAAATCCGGAAGTTATTGACCGGTCAGTTTAACTTTTACATTCATCTTTCGAAATTGAAAGTACAAAAAACAAAACCAGCGAGTTCAATATTTATACACCAACGAGTTCGTTGTAATTTGCTAACCATTGCGTGGCAGTTCCAGGGGTGTGCAACTAGCATCATCTGATACCCGGTGCTACCGGTTTTTGGGTAGTAAAAATTAAAATTAAGCATATAGTACATGAGAAATACAAACGGTATTTTCACTCATTGTTTTGCTATTTAATTTCCAACTAATGAAAATTTTCCAGGCAGCGTGCTCCAACTGTTCTTAAATTACTTTAACCTTATCCATTTTGAAGTACTACCTGACTTATTTACTTCAAAAAACGATAATCCGAATTTCCTCCATCCCTCTGTTAATGGTAAATTGACATGCAGATATCTCTTTCCATTATTTACGGTCCCCTAATCAACTAATAGCAAAGTGTTATGTGGTTAAACTTTAATATATATCAATTGTATTTAATGGCTTGAAATGAAAATAAAATAATTTTGCTTCATTTTAGGTAAGTTACAATAGTATAATATGTTCAGAAAAGAAAAGATATACATAATTTCTTAAAATTTTGAAACTTCAAATTTAAAAGGGATGGCTTAGGACTCTGACTTTCTCAACAATGAACTTTTTACGATATTTGTTTTTACAATTTTTTGCCCCTATATTTGGACTGCTCAGTTTTAACTTCGGGCTAGTAACTTTATTGCTGTTACAAGCCTGTGGGCTAGTACTTGATTTTTTTTAATTGCACACCCCTGAGTCGTAAGGCAGTTGGCAAGAAACCACCTATATTTCAAGCCAAACAAAAGTAAGGCACCATACAATGGTAAAACTGTTTTGTAATATAACCAACTCATGTGAATTTGTGTATAAAAAAATTCAATAAAATAAAAAAAAATTCCTACCTACCGACCCTATTTTATTTCAGCATGTAACAGTAAACAAAGATATTTTTTTGTTTGGCCTCAAAGATAAATATATAAAACCATAACGCTACAGATCTGCAGCTAAATTTTTGCTTGCCCTACCATAAACTAATACTGCATTTATAGATATTTCAAAAAAGAGGAAGACAAATAGTAGATCATGTAATGCTCAGCCTTAAATCTATGGGTTACATATTGATTTTATTTTTGGTAAGTCACTTGCCCACCGGCAAGTGGTTGATAACAGTGGTGAGGGTCTAAGGGACAAAAAAAAAAGAAGAAAGAATTAATGCGCAAAGGAGAGGCAGTAATTTTCAGTAAATTTGCAATTTTTCCCCTTTAAAAAGGGTACATTTTCATGGTATAGTCAGTAATATTTTAGTATTTCCTGTTTTCCCCCTTAAAAATAATCATTTTCATACTGGAAAAAATGATTAAAGTTTCAGAAAAATGGGCAAAATGCACGATTTTGCACCGCTTATCCAACAGCTTCTGGTTGCCTAAGTGCTCCCTTAGAACCCCTTGCCTAATTGGTTGTTATTTTGATTGACTTCATGATCATGTCTCAATACATTGCAAAGTTTTTCATCATTACCCTCTCAGACACCTCTGCAGTGGGTTGGCATTAAATTGCTGGCATGAAGTAAACTTACTATTCAAGAAATGATCTCAAATTAAACTAAAGTTCTAGATCTTCTTTGTAAATCATTTCATTAAAAGACAAACATAAGAGCATATATTTAATGAAATGAATTTAATCAAACACACCATTTATTGGGCCATTGATGGAGATAAATGTATGAGCCTACCATAGTAAATCATGTCTAAGAATTTTGTGGTAGAAAATTGATAAGGACTATCTTCCATTTATGTACGACAGATCATCGTGAAAGTTAAACTGACGCGACTTTTTGAGATGAATAATTTATTAATAATGATCCCATGTAAATGCATGATGCTGAGTTTTGTGGTGTGTTTTATTTCAGAATTTGTGGCTATGATGACATCAAAGTAGATAACTACCATCCATAGTGTGCCTAGTTTGTTGGACCTATAGATCAGAATGAATGTCACTGCAGCTATATGGCATGTCAGGTGTTAGAAGAATGGCAACTGCTTGTCTAGCTAGGCTTTATGGTTAAAGACATTCTACCATTATTTCACTCTTATTATTGTGTTGCTCTGAGGATCAAAGAACATACTTAGTGCTAGTTATTTATGTGTACCTTCCTAACTGTTGATATTGTTATTAGTTAAGGTGCTATGTCTTGGTGCAGTTATGCATCTTGCCTCAATGTCAAATAAAGCACAAAAAATACTAAACAGAAGCATTAATTTCAGAATTTAAATGACAGGCTTTAACTTAACAGAATTGTTGAGGGATGGTCAAATGTTCTTTGTTTTATTTATTGCAGAATTTGTTACGATGATGACTTCAAAGTGAGAAAGAATTGTAATTTGGTATATTCTGTTATCCTTTGGTTTTGTTTAATTGAACTGGTAAAAATATTTGTGTTCAGAAAATGTTAATGAACAGTTTCCATTTTTTTTAAAAATCTTTTACGTACATCTTGTGTACATTAAATAGCTAGTCATATTGTGCAATTTAGTACCTGTTCTGTACTTAGTTTATTGATTGAAACTTTACATTCTTAATATCTTCAAGATAATCTTGCAACTTTAGCTATGCCTGTTGTACTTTATGACTTGGAGTTAAAACAAGTAAAGGTGTTCACTTTGAATTTGTATTATAATTCCAGCGGTATAAAGGATTATGTTTATTGTTTCTTATTGATATATTTTTCATTGATTATTTTATATTTTTATTTACTACCATCACTGTATATGAATTCCCTCATTGAAAAGACTGGATTGTCTACCAGTTTGAGTTAATATCATTGAAATATTTAAAGTTGTTTCATGTATGAAATGTTATCTATTTGAATAATTGAATTATGATAGTTTTCATACATTATAAATTTCTGTCTACGCTAGTGCACCAAACAACGCAAGACTAGAGAAAACTACCGTCATAGAGAATTTATTCAAGTTTCTTATTCATCCAATTTTCATCTCTCAAATTCAGGAATGCACTTCGGGTGTATAAGTATTGTTATGTCACCTATCATGTTGTTTTATATCTTCATAACATGATATCCTGAATAAATGATGTTGTAAATTATGACAAATTTGTTTTTTTTTTTTGCCTTTGTTAAATAACTGTTGTATCCTATTATTTGATGTATTCACAATAAGCAACATCTTGTGCTTTCTATCAAAGTTGCAATTAGTATTGATTTTTATGCCCCCGTTCGAAGAAGGGATGATATATAAATATTGCTTTGCTGCTGTCTGTCCACCAACAGTTTGCAGTCTTCACGAAAACTTTTCTGAGACACTAGCCAGTAGGGCTAGTGGATTTTACAGTATTACTAGCCCAAAGAAATTTTTATTAGCCAACGAAAAAAAAAGAAAATAAAAGAAATGAAATTGCAGAATTTACTGTTGTATCACTCTATTCCATTTAAATTTCATACTGAATAAAAAACAGAATTCCTTTTCTTTTGTATTTCTTCTGCTTAATAATTTTGTTTTCCCCTCATTTGAATCATAAATAAATCAGTTATCATTAATAAAGATTAAATTAATTTGAACAAACAAGTATTTTTAGCTTTTTGATAATGTACATGTATTGTACATTAGCTCCTTTTCTGGTAATTAGACTTCTCTCCCAAAGAAGTGACTTTTTTCATATTAAATTTTGAGATACATTGTTAATATAAATTTGGATGACAGTTAACTTAGTTAACTCATGTAATCCTTTACTCTTTAATTAAATGTGTAATCAGAATTAATTAAATGGGATTTCTGCATGTATTTACCATAAACGATCTGACAGAGGAAATTCGGATTAGAGAAAAAAGACGATCGTTTTTATGGAAAAATAAACTATCAAGTAGTGCTAAGTGAATTAGATGAGGGAGTTTTCTGAAGAATAGGACTACAGTGGTTTCATTTTATTTATTGGTTAAGATTTAAAAGCAAAAACTCTTAAAGTACCTGCTTACTTTTCACTGGCCAGTCGGGCTACTTCTGAAACAATTTTTACTAGCCCAGACCAATTTTTACTAGCCTCGGGCGTCGGGCTAGTGAGTTTTCGTGAAGACTGGTTTGTGTCATTTTCTTCTTCCCAGAGGTTGCACACACTGAAATAAAATTTGGTATACAGATTTTTCATAAGAATATCTGTCACCTGCATGGCACAGTGGTACAGCTTCTGCTCTAGAGTCGTAAACTTGCGTCACGGGTTTGAATCCCACTGTAGGACATGGAGACCAGTCTTTTGGGTGAGACTGTATAAAGCGAGGTCCTGTGTTGCAGTAGGTGTTGGCACGAGAAAGATCCCTCCCTGCTCAATGGCCCTGAGTGCCGAGTATGGGACAAAATTTGCAGCTCTCCGCTGTCAAGTGGTGGCGTCTCCATACGAGTGAAAAATTCTCAAGAGGGACGAGCCGAAAGCTCAAGTAAGCTTTTTCTGATCAAAATTGTCCGTTGTCTGTCATTGGCATTGTCGTAAACTTTTCATATTTTCATCTTCTTCTCAAGAACCACTGGGCCAATTTTAACCAAACTTGCCACAAAGTATCCTTGTGTGAAGGGGATTCAAGTTTGTTCAAATGTCTTCCAAGGGGAGATAATTATGAATTAGTGAAAAATTCGTGTCATTTTTTTAAAATCTTCTCAAGGACCACTGGACCAGGAAAGATGAAACTGAGGTGGAAGCATCCATAAGTAGTGCAGATTCAAATTTGTTCAAATCATGACCCCCAGGGATAGGATGGGGCCCAAAATGGTCAATCAAATTTTTACAAAGGAATACATAGGAAAAATCTTTTAAGAACAGCAAACCCATGATTAGTCATATTTATATGGAAGTATCTGAAGGTGGTGTATATTCAAGTTTGTTCAAATCATGACCCCGGGGTAGGGTGAAGCCACAGTGGTCGATCAATTTTTACATAGGAATATATAGGGAAAATCTTTTTAAAAAAATTTACAAGAACAGCAGAGCCACGATTGGTCATATTTATGTGAAAGCATCCTCATGTGGTGTAAATTCAAGTTTGTTGAAAACGTGACCAACAATGGTCAATCAAATTTTTACAAAGGAATATATAGCAAAAATCTTTAAAAATCTCTAGAACAGCAAAGCCATGAATTTTCATATATGGAAGCATTCTCAAGTGGTGTAGATTCAAGATTGTTCAAATCATGACCACTTGGGGTAGGTTGGGGCAACAAATATCTGTCAAAGTTTTACATAAGAATATATAGAAACAAGAACATATAGAAACAATTTTCTTCTCAAGAACAGCAAAGCTATGTTTAGTTTTTTTTTTTATATGGAAGCATCTTCAATCATGTGGTATAGATTCAAGTTTTCAAATCATGACCCCCAGGGGGTAGAGTAAGGCCACAGTGAAATTTAAACTCGCACGAAAAAAGTCAGTCAAAAAAGTATGTTTGCATGCTTAGTTAGTGTATATTCAATTTTGTTCAAATCAAATCTATGGCACGCCAAGTTCACAAAAATGAGATAATTATAGTTTCACAATCGGTAAACTAGGTTTATCGGTTGTAAACTATAGTTTACAATCCGTAAACTATAGTTAACAACGTTAATCTACATTTCACATCTGTAAACCATAGTTAACGCGATAATCTATGTTTCACAACCGTAAACTATACTTAACACCGAAAACAATCATTTGCGATTGCAAAATATAGATTATCTGATAAATACAGTTTCACGATTTGTAAACTATAGTTTACAAACCGTTAACTATAGTTAACAATCTGATAAATATAGTTTCACAATTTGTGAAACTATGATTAACAACTCTTAACTATAGTTTACGATTGTAAACTATAGTTTACAAACGTGAATCTATATTTATCAACAAAATCTATTGTTAACGCTTTATTACAGACAGATAAACTTAAATTAACATTCGTAAACTATAGTTAACAATCGTTAAATATAGTTTTACAGATGAAAACTATACTTAACGAATCGTTAACTATAGTTTACGGTTTGTAAACTATAGTTTACATTCGATAAACCTAGTTTATCAATTGTGAAACTATGATTATCTCATTTTTGTGAATTTGGCGTGCCATACAAATCCCTTCTCCTTTTTAGGATTAAGTATGGACCACTTTTTCAAAACTATTCTAATTCTTTTTTTTTATTAGCCAGATGAGTGCTCTGGTGAGCGATATGGCCCATGGGCCTCTTGTCCTGTCTTGCTGCCGATGAATTTTGACGTCATGGATTTCGTCATTTTCTTGCAATCCTAAAAATGTCTTCAAGATTGACCACAATAATTTTTTAATACGCAAATTTCGAGAATATCTCCCCTGGTGGGCTCTTTCGTTGAGGAGGGGAGTTTCTTTGCCGCGTAAACAAACAGGTGGGACAGTTATTTATATATTGGATATATCGCATCATCGATATACTGGTTTTTCATAACTACATAATTGTAAAGATGCACTTTTCAACTTGAGAATAACCGAATTAATGTAAAAGCGTCATTTTCTAAAGCAAACAAATCGGGGAAAAAAAGAAAATATAAGTGGATGTGAGACTTTTCAGACGAGGGAATAGAGATATGGACCTCTAATAAATACGTTACACATGCATCTGAACATTGCACGTCGGCAATTTAAGGAGGGACAGGACCTTTAGCTTTAAAAAATTCCTGTCCATGAATTTTTTTCGTATTTTTTATATTACTAATTTAATATGCACTTAACATTTTAAAACGGTCCTGTCATGGGATTTCTTGACTTATTTAAAAGATATCGCCCCACAAATACCGCCCTATGTAGAGTTTGTATGGAGTTTAGATACTTCATGTTTACGGGCCCATGACGGAGTCCATCATGCGAATTTTTACGCACAAACGATAAATATTATAGATAACACTATAAACTCAAATATTTCAGAATATTCATAGTGTTTAAATTATCTGAAAGCAATTGTTTTAATTTTATATAGTATTTGGGTGGGATAATTTCTGCATTTTTCAAGGCAGCTTCAACGACAAAAACCTCATTGGGAAAAAATTCTTTCAATAAATATTTTTAAATTAACGATTGAATGTCAGTCCTTCGTCGTAATTATTTACTGCATAAATATCACAGGGTGAAGCTTACCTAAATTCCGCACAGGACATCGTTGAATTAGACGTAAGCATGATAAAAACACTTCACGTTTGTATTTTCCGAGTGCGGGAAATCAATTGTGACGTCACAAGAAAACATAAACATTCAAAATTATCTAAATAGAGAGAATCTCTGCTACTAAACACGAAAAAATATTAATAATAAAAAATCTGCTTCAAAAATTTATCACGATACATTGACTGTGACCTGTTTATTATGAAATTAAATTGAATCATGACGGGTGTGTGTACTTGATCTCGCTGCACTGAAAATTCAAACACTACGTCTATGACGTCACTGACGTCAAACTGCAGGGTAAAGAGAAACAAATGTGTGGATTGGGCAACTTCACAATATCTAAATGATGGCAAGATCTTTAAAAATTTTATGAATAATAATTTCTAAAATTAAACATGTTAAATGTTTAAACAACAATTTTAGAATTTAGAATAAAATTCCACAAGAACTGTTGATTTTAACAACGTTTAACACGTATATCATCACCGATTATGACGTAATATGTCTTTTTAGTCATGTGACATGTGCCCTGTCTCCCCTTAAATGACACATTGATTATTTTCCTTATTATAACTTCAAAGAACCCACTAACTTTTTAGAAAATGTACAATCAAGAAAATCTTTGACTTTTTATAAAGACCACGACGTTTATTTCGTTTTCAAGTACCCTATAATTGAAAGTAGATTTGTAAATATACACAGTTGAGCTTGATAAAATCATAAATGCATCACTGCTTAACATTATTATCTTTCTATAACTTTTAATAAATTTTAAAAGCCATAAACATCGTTCATTTATTTATGCACGTTTGTATACAGAAACAACCTGTCCTACCTCGCGTATTGTCAATATTTTACAAACAACTAAACATCTGATCTGAAATATTGAGTTTAATGCCCACATAATCGAAGATTCAGGGTATATAGTTTTTGACCTGTCCGC